GTAGTAACTTGGGCTTTGAAGATGTGATGTCCATTACGGACTGGTCTTCAAGGAAACAAAACCTTTTTCTTATATCATGAACTGCTTAAATACATGAATTATAATAAATATAAATTATATGCAAAATGATGATAATAGAGCTGTTTCCTTATTCAGATCTTGATTATCTCTCTACTCCACAACCAATCCTTTTGGTGTTCTTGTGCATCTTAGTTTACTAACTGACATATCAATATGGATGCCAACACCACTTCTTAAAACTCAGCCTTTCACAAACTGAGCTCATGCTATCCCCCTCCCCGTACCCCCTCCCCTTTTTCATTGAGATCAATAGCACAACTATCCTTCCTTTCCCCAATGCCAGGATGCTAGGAGTAATCCTGGACTCTGACCTAACCTTTCAGTCCCACATCCAATCACTGCCAACATTCTGACACCATTCACTTCCATAAAATTTCCAAAATATGCCCTTTCCTAACCAATGAAACAAAAAATCCACTTACTTGTTATCTCTCATATTGACTGTTGCAACTCCCGCTTCATTAGCATACATCTGCACAGGCTATCCGCCCTACAGTCTATCATGAATACTGCTGCCAGACTCACCCACCTCACCAACCACTTAGTGTCTGCAACCCCTATTTGCCAATCCCTCCACTGGCTTCCATCACCCACCCCCTCTGCAAATTCCTCCACTGACTTCCAATTGCCCAAAGAATACAATTCAAAATATTTTTTAAAAAGCTTACAAAGCCATCCACTACTCTGCCCCCAACTACATCTGCAACCTTGTTTCAAAATATCACCCTAACGGTCCTATCCACTCCTCCGAAGATCTCCTGCTCTCTCGCTCCCTCGTCAATTCCTCCCATGCTTGCCTCCAGGACTTCTCCAGAGTCCCTCCCATCTACTTTTATATAATTTCCTATGCCCTTTACTGAAACATCAAACATTGTCATCAGCTTCCCAGCTTTCATCTGTGAACTATAAAACCTCTCGTGTATGTAATATAGCTATGCAGAGGGAGACAGTGCTGGGTGTCCGACCCAGCACTGACTCCTCTGTCCTTGCTGGCACTTCCGATCCCACGGTGTCTGCATGCGGGGGCACGCGTCCATAGACTTACCTTGCGTCTCTCCTCGTCCCGGCCGAAAATCCGTACTGTGCATGCGCCCGCCCCAAGATGCTTTGCGGCCGCCCCAGCAGTTTCGGATTTTCGGGGGGGGGGGCGGGGGGAAAAAAAGGGGTAAGTTTAAACTGCTGTTAAAGCGGGGTTTTTTTTTTTTTTTTTACTTTTTGCATATATCTACTGCTTGCTAGCAGAAACCCTTTAAGGGTTGGTTGGAGGGGCAGGGTTAAGCATTAGAATTAGGTTAACTATTAAGTGTTGTTTTAAGTGCTAGGCTAGAAGTAAGGACCTTTATGACATGCAAGGTTCAGACACCTCCAGGTAGTGTTGGAACTTGCCCATTTCCTCCCGCCTCCCACATTTCTACTGGCCCATCAGTATGATGAGCTGACTTACTGGCCAAAAGGACTGTATAGGGGTCAGGAAGGGACGGCAAGCTTTAGCACTATCAAGAAATACCAAAGCTTTGCCTGTCAAGAGTAGCCATTTTCTTTTCTTAAAGTGAAAGAGTCTCTCTAAGTGATATGGTGGCTTAAGTACTAAGGGTTGGTTTAGTTACAGGACAGTTAAGAGATAACATTTAACCTGGTCCCTAAAATTAAGGATGTGAAAAGGTTAAGTTAAGGTGATGCAGTGTTAGGGACAGGTGTGATGTGGGAGGGAGGGACATAGGTGCTTACGGTGACATTTATGTTTGTTCTTGGCTCTGCAACCAAATGTCCTGCACTACTTTACAGGACCTCTCTGCTCTCCCTTAAATTCTCACAAACATATGTGAATGACTGACATTTCACATAGCTATACAGGGGCTAAACGCAGAGGTAACTGTGGTGCTTAGATGGTTGCTGCAATGTGGCAATTGGGGTCAGCAATGGAAATATATATTATAGACTCTGCATCAGGGCTCCATCAACAAATATTTCCTCCAATAAGCATGGAAGCAGCAGCCTGCTCTGAATCAACAAAACAGCACAATTCTGACCCTCAGGTGGGAAGACCTGCAGGGCTATTCATAAAAGGGTGAAGTTGGTAGAAGGCAGGAGAAGTGCTCAATCTAGAACAACATAGCTGAACTGGAAAATGAGCTGAACTGGAGAATTTTTCCAAATCAGCTATTTTGGCCTAGATTGTTCACTTCTCCTGCCTTCTCCTAACTCTTCCCCCTTTTGTGAATAACCCTGTTGGTTTTAGAAGATTTGAAAGAATAATAAAATCAGGTAACCTGCTTATTCCTTTGTACACAGTTGCATAGGAACCTTCACCTAGCTTCTCCAGGTTCAGATAAGAAGATGCAGTACCAAAAGGGAGTCCTTTTCTCTGCTGTAGGAAAATAAAGAAAAAAGACACATTAAATGAAAAATAATGAAATATGTTGAAGTAAACCTTAGCTTTTTTTTTTCTTCTTACTAGCAAAAGTGTGCCCATTTATTAAACAATTTGAATACGGAAGGGTATGTCACTGCATTGGTGGTGAGTACAGATGTTTGCATTGGTAGAGTGGTGGTGAGTTACAAGGCAGGCTATGGTGTAGTAAGAAGTGAAGGGAAGATGGGGGTCACATGCAGGAATCAGAGTGGATCAGCTGAACGGGGGTCAGCTGAGGTGGTGAGAGCAGGGTGGAAGGATGATTGACACGGTGAAGGTGGGGTTTCAGGCATGGTGATGAGAAGGGGAATTGAGGCACAGCACTGACAGGAGGGGTGCTGCAGACGTGGGTGCATTGCAGGTACAGTGGTAAGTGGTGCCTCCGCAAGGAGCCATCAGCTCCAGATGCTGCCGGCAGTTCAGGCATTGGGGGAGTTTGTGGTGTAAGCTTCCAGAATGGAGAGCGGCAGCAGAACCTGGGGATAGGGAAGTGGTGTAAGCTGATGGGGCCAGAAATTAGAAGGCCATGTCCCATTGCAACGTAAACTCACTCCCTGAATGCACACACTACTCCAACAGGAGAGCTGGCATTTAGGCCAGCAGTGCAGATCAAACTATTAACTTCACACTATGTTGTACTATTGCAAGGTGTTACTGCATGTACAGTATTTTGCATGTTAACGAGTGTTGAATTAGTCAGCCAGTTTATCAAGAAAGGTCTGCCAGCGCATAGCAAAACTGAACTTGGTCCAGGACCCTTAAAACCAGGTGTCTCCCCAGTTTGCTGAGTGAATTGACAGCTGTGCAGTTGGCCAAGCAGTTTGGCCTCTGGGTGCACCGGGCATATTGTGTGCATTCCCGGGATAAGAAGGTATATATTTCTGGGCTGAGAGGAGGTGGGAGGAAGCCAGACAAAAATATATTATTATAAACCCATCCACCTCCTCCTTTAGTGCAGCACCCTTCCAATATGACAGCCAGGATGTAGAAGTCCAACATCCAAATCTACTCTTTATTTCTTCTACGATCATTTTTATTTGAAATACAACACTACTATTTATCACCCCTTCCTCCCAAACTACTGAAATGTCTATTATTTTGAACATGCAATCTCTGTTATCAAGGGAAAATTAAAACTCTGTTTTACTTCCAGTATTCTTCTTTTACACTAAGGATAGGACAAGATAGTCACTGGTTCCGTCAGGGTGCTTCGGGCTCCTGTACCCAGGGAGGCATCTAAAGTTAGTAAATGGTACAAGCAGTGTCCACCTTCCTTCAGCATCTGTTAAATACTTACCATGTGTAATGGAGGTACAATTCTTATTTTTTTCTTTTGTGTTATCATTTGACAGCTACATTGTGCTTGTCACGAGCATAGCACAATTCACTGCAGTGTAGAAATGCATAATGTATAAATGTCTAGGTGCATTATCTCTTAACGTGTAATGATACTGCTGTTAGATCAGTTCCTAATGGAGCTTTACAATGCATTCACCCTTGAGAAGAGGGGGGAAGGGGGGATTAATAATTACCCTACATTACAATACCTTACATAAGTATTTTGATGGCCATATAGAAAATACAGTGGAAAGCAATGTTCTTTAAAGTCATTCTGTGACAACAGAAAAATAGGGACTGTCATTGCTGGCTTGCTTTTTAAAAAGCAGGCTCAAGGGCAGCTGTCCTGATCCTGACTTCTTTATCTAATAAGTCATTAAAAGGAGAACTATGGGGTCAGTGTTTTTCCCCATAGTTCTCCTTAGGGTAACGGGAGGACACAAACTAGCGTCCTCCCGTTTAGTCTCATTGTCACAGGTCGGCTAGAACTATGAGGTGAGTGGAAATAACTCATCTCATAGTTCTCCTTTAAACGAGAACAAGCATTTAGCCAAAAAAAGTCTGAAGTCTTGTACTGTATGTTTCTCTCAGGTCTATGACTCACTAATTGGTGAAGCCAGGGTCATTATAACAGCCCTGAAGCCAGCATATTTCCAAACCAGATAAGCAATATCAGCCCACATATACTCTATCTTCCTTCACAGATTCATTTTAGAGTTACCACAAAAGTAATCAGGGCATCATAGGCACAAAAACTTACATTTAAATATATTCCTCAAAAGCAACAAGGTTTATAAATTAACTGCAGGTGCCTTCGTAAACCCAGATATTACCTATATGGGTTTACAAGTAGCAGTGACAAAATCACTGAGCTGTACATAGCCTGTGCAGAGAGCAGAGCAGGGAGAGGGACCCACCAGGCTCCACCCACTACAGGCTGCCTGTAGAAAACTACAGGAGGGGGCAGAAACAAGACCAGTCAACGTGCCAAAGGACAGAGAGCAGCAGTGACTGGTCTTTGTTACAGAAACCTCCTGCAAAGAGGCAAAGTTTCTCACTGAATTACTGCACAGATCTGGACGAAATACACCATGCACACAAGATTCAAGGAAGAATACACATTTCTCTCGTTTTTAGACAATATTTTCTTATCCCAGAGTTCAACGGAAATGGTTCTTTACCATAAGTAAATAACACACACACATACAGATATATATAGATATATATTAGTAGAGCGCGAGAGCGAGAGAGAGAGCGCGAGAGAGAGAGAGAGCGCGAGAGAGAGATAGAGATATATATATAGGTCTTCTCCTCCTCTAAATTAAATACAAACCACTGTTTGGAATCTCAACATTTCATTAAAAGAAGTATAGCTTATTTTTCTCTCACAGGTTTTACAGAGCACTGTGAACTTTCTATCAATCACAACCCATCAAGGATTCCTGGGCTAAATGGTTAATTACTTTAATAATAAAAGTGAAAACCCCTTTCAGTCATTAAACCTCCTACGTAGAAAACATCATAATAGCAATAGCAGTGGATTAGCATCTCTAGATACTATGGTGTTTTTACAGTTTGGAAGTTTAACTTCTAGCATTCTCCTTCTATATGTACTAAAACACAGACAAAAAAAAACAATAGTCATCATTTGATCCTGCACAAATCAGTATCAAAACACTGAGAACAGTTAGAACCCTGTCTACTTAAAGCAGACCTTTACCTCCTTTTACTACAAATCCCATGCATGTTGATTTAAAATCATCTTACTTTTGGTCCTTCACTATAAATACTGATCACAGCTCTCGCCTGGTTGTCACTTCATTGTTATGCTTTATTTGCATAGTCATTACATGCAGATATACCGTTGCTCATTATATTCTGTACCTTGCCATTTAGTCTTTTGTTTTAATTTTTTTTTATGTATTCAATACTCACCTACTACCTTCTATGGCGGTAGTCATGTTGTTACAATTGTATTGAAAACTCTTAATAAAAACTTACTTGCTAAAAAAAAAAAATCATCGTACATTCATTAAGTAAACAAACTTGTTTTTCATTTACTTAAAAATAGAGTTCATCCACTTTCTGGTCCAGTTCTGGTACAAATTATGTATGTGCCAAAGCGTTGCATTTTTGGAAGTTTACATCAGCAGAGCATTGCTGGGAAATCTAATCTGTAATCTCAGGAGATCTCAGGGAAAGGCATTTTCCTCCCCTGAGATGATGTAAATGGTCACATGTCTAGTCACATGTACCAGAAATCCAGGAAGTAAAAGGAGAGCTAGTAACCTGCCCTTAGTTAACATGGCCACTGTCAGAAGACTGGGGAAGAAAAGAGAAATAAGGTATGCAAAGAATACAAAGCCTGCAATTATCTAGAAGTATGGCCCGGTTCACACCTGGGCGTTTTGTAGCGCGTTCCTACGCTCTGCAAAACGCTCAAACACCGAAATCCCATTATTTCCTATGGGTATGGTTCACACCTGAGCGTATTGCAGGCCGTATGAACGCGCTACAAAACGCCCTACGCCCAAAGAAGTAAAGGAGCTTCTTTAGGGCGTTTTTTTCGCGCGTTTGCATTGGGATACATCCAATTAGCCCTCGGAAACGCGCGTTTGTCGGAACGCGCGACCAACGCGCATATTCAATACGCCTAGGTGTGAACCCAGCCTATGTGTTTGTAGATTGTCATTACTAAACCTGTCTACACATGTGTTTGTTGTTATTTTAAAGATATGGGTAAAGGTCCACTTTAAACCTTAAAACCTAAGAACGTGATAGGAGGGCAGATGTTTAGACAAATGCTTATTGTTTTTAAATATCTGACTCAATAGTAATTTAACTATTACAGGCCCAAAGCCCTGCGTTGACCAGCATTCTACAACATATTATTAACACCTGTACAATAATGCCTTAACCTTTAAAACAGATTTGTAATCATTAAGTGGTCCATTTATAAACAATTCACAAAGCCATTCGCTCTGCATCTCACTGAGAATGTTTGTTCTGTATGAATAGAGGCAAAAACTAACACTGTTAGTATATTTTCTTTTTAGGTCAAATATAATGTAATACTGCATTATGGCCACTAGACGTAGTTGGGAAGCATAGGAGATAAGTTTCTGCAAATTGTTATAAATAGACCCTAATGGACCCGGTGTATCTAAAGTCAAAATATTATTAGTGCAGGATAGAGTAGAGAACAGTTAGTACCTCTGTCAGGTTTTTATTTCTTGTAGTGTGGTAGAGAAGAGGAGCGCTTAACTTATAGGTATGTTTAAAGTAAAACTTCCAATATTTGGAAGTCGCTCTTAAGAGTCCTTATAGAAGCGTGATGAAAAAGTGAGAGATGAACAAGCCAGTGCAGGATGCCAGCCAGAGCGTCCAGCTCAGCTCCTGGCAACCAGTGACGTCAGTGAGCTGGGTGGGACGCCGGGCAGAGCGCCACAGGTTGCTAAGAGCTTTTAGCAGCCTGGAACGCTCTGGCTGGACAGGGACACCTGCCATCCCCCGTCCTTCCCCCCCACCCCACACGTGACTCAAATGAGATGCTATCTGAGACAACCGCCTCAGATGTGTGGTACCGATGGCAGGCTCTGCATTTTCCTCACAATGGGGTTCTGTTAACCTCTGGTTTGTACTAAACATGTTGAATTCATAAAGAGTGTCATTTAGACACATAAATGTGTCTCAGGGTTATAGGAATAGTGTCGTTATTTGTGCCAAATTCATGTACAAGTCTGCATAGCATTCATGAATTCATGAAAACCTATGAAACTGGTGCTGGCCTGCGGACAAAATTTGGGAGAGATGCTGTTTATGCACACTGATAAAGTAGAAAGGTGTGTTGGCATTGTTGTCCAAAGTGTCGCATATTTGTCTGAGACAGATTTTAGATGGATCAACGGTTTCAAAGAATATTGCACCTGGGTATGTGACGCATACTGCAGCAGACATATACAATATAAACGTTTGACAGACTAGTTGCATCAAAAAGTACTTTTATCTAGTGATTACTTTGTATCACTTTTCTTATTACGGAACCGTCAGAGTTTATTTCTTGAATAATGTGGCAGGCACAGCGTCAGAATGAAATATGGCGCAAATAAGAACTACTTGAATTTGGCGCAGGAGTCAATAGAGGTCCAAAAAATGGTGCAGAATGGTTTAGGATTTGGCGCAGACATTTCTTAGGCTGCAAAGGGTCCAGAATTTTGGCACAAACAAAATATTGATTCCCCTGACTGTGATAATGCTTCCATTGGAGCAAAGAGAGCTATGGGGTCAGAGTTTGTATTAATAGCAGTTGCTAGCTACCTATAGCCAAGAACAACCCTGACTACAACAGTCTGTGAAATGTTTCCACAATATGCTTTGTCCTCCACCACAGAAAGAGCAAGCTAATACATGTCTGAGGTAATTTAACTCTTTCAGCACTATAAGTCATTTATATGTTTATAAGATGCTTTAGATTTTCATTGCCATTTTAAGACTGACTTTTACACTTTCAAAGTGTTTCAGATCTTTCAGCTGCCCCCAACATGTTTTACCCCTTGGGTTTAATCATAGAGGTTTATGAGAGATGATGCAATAAATGCTATTTCATAACAGAACTACAGAAAATGCAACACTTACCCACTGAAACCCTTGCCCTAAGTTCTTCCCCTGAAGTGGGTCGCTGTTACTCCGGGCCCTTAGTGCTCTTATCCTCCGCACTTGGACAGTATGATACCATTGTGGAGGAAGAGACCTGACAGGACATGGAACTTCACTGAAATCTGTAAGCTGAGAACACAAGAGTCATCTGCTTTAATATATTCAGTGTTTTGTTACAATTATGTAATACAAGGAATAATATTAATAACAATAATTATAATAATGCTATCTCAATACCTGTAGTATTTTATAGGAATGCACTGATACCGAATATTTGGGCGAGTACTCGTACTCGCCCAAATGCTCCCAATACTTATCCCGATACCAGAACATCCGGTATCATGTACTGACTCGCCGCCCGGCTTCCTGGTTGATCAGGGTGGGCAATGACTCATGAAAAAAATACATACATCCCTAGTATTTTACATGTATTTTTAAAAAAACATATATCAACCCACAACTAAAATCTCCAATAAAATACATTATATCTAAAGCCAACTTTTTTTATCTGGGATAGAGTAATGAATAATAAAAACCCCCCGTCAGGTTTTTTGGCACCTGTGCCCTATTGGGGAGATTTACCTGAACATCCTGCAAGGTAGACATAACAGAAAGTTAGAGGAAATCTCCCCAAAGAGAGGCAAATCTCCTCCTAGACAGTTGCCACCAGGACATTTAATCAAAATAATAACTGCCATGATGGTACTTATGCAGGCACCTCCTGTTACAGAGTTTCAATACTTTGTCCCTGTCTCCCAGTCACAAGCTCACCAAATGAAGACTACAAGTGACATACTTTGCAAAAGCATGTTTTATTGCTGTCGCCATCAGGAAACCTCACCTACAAAATGCCATGCAGTAATTGCTGAGGGTGCATTGCATGTAGACAGAAAGTAGGTGCAGAGAGGCTGCAGGAGATCAGCAGTGCTTATATGCAACAAATTGATGAAAACTCTATTTTATCAGACAAAAATGGCAACTGTGTATGATACACTGTGCTTAGATGCTCTTATCTAATTTTTTACAGAATAAATTGACCACTGGCCTGCCTTCTCCCACCTATTGGTCATTGAGGACAACAGTCACATCACGTAACAAATAAAACATTACTTTCTTCATAAAAAAGCAATGTCAGTCATGCTTCATCTTTCAAATTGTAAATGCATCCCTAACATTGACAATAATTATAATACATATTGGAATCTATACACCGCTATCAATATATGTGAAACATCAATGTACAAATTCCTGAAATATGGCATATGTTATGCATAACCACATAACTATTATTATATAAAAAATAATACATGTAATTATAAATCAGCATAAAATGAGACGATTACAGTAATTAAACATGAATAGACATAAAACAAATAGAAAAATGTATGTCCTAAACATATAAAAACACAATAATAGAAGCACAAACACAAGCAATGATACAGTAGCAGTACCTCCAGGTCAGGGGACTCATCATATACAGAACTTTCCTCTTGCTGGCCCTGAGTACCTCCTTTTCCAGAACCACGGCAATTCACACAAAGCACATCACCCATAACTTCCAGGGCTTCTCATACATCTCTCTGAGTCTCTCTTCTAGTGTTCATATGACTCACATGACACCCCAGCTTCCAGCAAACAGCCCCATGACTCAGTGTGCCTTCCCACATACCTTAGGATTCTAAAAACACTGTTTTTTTATGCTTACAGACTGAAGTGAATAGAATACGCATTTCACAGACAGATATGCAAAGCAGTCTTATTTAAAAATAAAATTTAAAGGGCCACAAATTGGTTTTGTTGGTTTACACAAAAGAGCTTTTGTGGGCTACTTAGAAAACATTCTGTCTCCCTGTTGGTTTTCCTAACAATTTATAAAAGTGTTATAAAGCAAGCAGGCAAAATTAAATGGTGTAAAGAAATATAAATCAGTTCATCGATTCCACTACAATATAGTCTGATAACTGTGAAGGCAATGTAAGCATGCATTATTTTTACGGATTTAGTGTTAGGGTTAAGATTAAGGACTAATATAATGAATAGGGTCATGGGTTAGGCTTATGGGATTACGTGTTCGGTTAAATTGAACCTGTCCTTTTCCATCCAGGGCAAAGCAAGGGATACACTTAACTGACATCCTCCCCAGCTGCACAAACTGCGCTTCTTTTTGGTCACTGGGTGCTCTGTTTGGATGCAGGCAGTGAAGAGAGGAAGCCCTATGTACATGCTGGAGTTAACACAGGGCTAAGGACTTATGGACAGTATTGGGTGCTTGAGTGGCCAATTACCAAAACACCAGTCCTGTCAAGTGGAAGGAAGGGGGGTAATTCAGCAAATGGCACTGTCTCAAAGGAGGCTACAATTAAGCCCATAATCATGTAGAATTCCAGCATTGGACAGCTACTGTATAATCTGTGAACAAAGAGTCAGAGGTTTTCCATTAGGAAGAAAAACTCTGGCTTGAGCTGTGTCAAGGATGAGACCCAGATATTCCAAGTGATGTGTCAGTTCCAATGCTGATTTCCGAAGGATCAGCATCCAACCGAACCTTTTTAATGTCTGGACTGTCCACATCTCATTGCCATTCAGAATTTGTACTGACTGTTCCCCCAAAAGATGAACATCCAGCTATTCCACAATAGGAATACCCTGGAAGCATAGAAAGGCACGGTTTGGTATAAACTGGTAGTGTTGTGCACGCACAGCAAAATGGAGACAGGGTTAATTAACTGGAAGGATTGGAACATGGAAGCATGCATCCATGATGTCCATGTAGGCTAGAAAGTATCACTAAAAGGAGGGAGGCTATGACAGACCTAGTGGATTCCATAAAGTTTTTGGACTCAAATTAAGGCCTTTAGATTCAAGATGGAGCGGATGCTTGGTTTGGAAAGGTGAAAAGGTTGAAGTAAAAAACCCTAAAACCTTTCTGCTGTTGGAACAATGACTCCTTGGCTCAAAAGATCTGCAAAAGCAACTCCGAGGTATCCTAGTCTGTGGGGAAACATGAAGCGGGCATGGGACAGAGAGAGCAACTCTAGCTATTAGCACCTGGAAACCATGTCTCATACTAAACAACTGAAATGCTTTTTGACCAGGTGTCCGCAAAGGCAACCCTCCATTTGGAAAGTGGGGGTTTTCCTTCAAGTCTGTCTATTTAGGTGATTTAGGGGAAAAGAGTTTACAATAAAACTAGGCTCCTTGCTTAGGTCTGGCCTTGGCAGTTGAAGAGTGGGAGTTGCGAAAGGAACTCCTCTTGACCTCAGAGGGAGAGGAGATTTTCCAGTTTGAGGCTTAGTCTTGCACACAGGAGTACGTTTTCTGGCGATGACATCCTTTATGAGGGTGTCCAAAAAAGCACTAGAGAGATCACCATCACCATGGCATGCACAGCAAGCTTTTTTATGTTGCTGTCCTATTGATCAACATTTTAGCCACAGATTCATCCACATAGTCATTGCCAGGAGACTCAGAAGATTCAGGAAATAAGACAGACAATGTCGCCTAACCCATCTACACAACAATGTAGGGCTAAAGACATACAGTAAGCTCTAAGTGATCTACAAATAAAGGGTCAGTAAGGATAATAACTGAATCCTTTATCATAATTTTAGTCCACTCCCATAAGTTTTGACAGACTGACATCACAGCTATGGGAGGTTGCACATCAGGTCCTGCTAGCCGAAAACAAAGATTTGCAAAGCGTTTCCAATGTTTGTCAATAGGATCCTTAAACAATGGTGCATTTTCAACAGGTATAAGTCAGTGTTTTATTAAGGTGGGATAATGCCAGATTCACAGTGGGAATCACCCATTTCTTGATAAAGACCTCCTCAAATGGGTATTGGTCTTTAAAACATTTGAGAGTAGAGAATAGATTAGAAGTTTTCCAAACTCCATAGAGAATACCTTCAAGTAAGGGGTGTACCAGACATGTTTTGATAGTCTTGGAGCCTCTCAGACATCCAAGACTAGGAACAGCACTAGTAGAAGCTACAGGCTGTTTGGTCTACTTTTAAGGTGGCATGCACTGCATCAATAAGAACTGATATAGTGTGATTAAGCCTGGGAGCTATGGCAGCTACCTGCGACTCCTCGGATACAATCTCATCCAATAAGAATTTGTGAGACTCTTTAGCCCAAACAATCTAGCATAGCTGCAAAGAACTCTTTTCTGAATAAGGCAGAGGATGGAGCCACACTCGAAGGAGCTAAGGGAGACTACGAGGAGTGTATGGACTCCAGCAGGGGACAAATCAATGATCCAGGCTGTCATGGTGCGCTCCATTTCAAGGGACATTGTAGGCTGCCCAGGAACTGTTAGTAGATTGTGAGCTGGAGAGACTAAATGCAGTGGGACTACGTCCCTTGCACTTGGGATCCGACATGTTGCACTGCTTAATATAGAGTGTTTCATTTCTGTGATGCCTGCAGTGTATGCCGGGCTGCAAAAGCAGCTATGAACTTGCGCAAAATATAATAATGCCCCCTGCAATTGCCAGATCAATACTGCAAAGTAAAGAAATAGGGGTCTGCTGCAACCATATCTCCAGTGATGGTCTTGTGGCCAGCTCTTGAACACAGGATAGAGAGGGGGTGAAATAAAAAGACATAATGCACAACTTTCAAACTATATAATTTACAGTGATGTACTGTATATACCTCTGTATTATATATTATTTAATATGCAGTAATATCCACAAGTCTATTAGAACATACCCTTACCCTACCTCATGGATAAAATCTACTACGTTCTTTATTCTGTAACACTGTCTCTTCCTGTTAAACTGACAACTGAAAAGAAACTGATTAGGATCTGAAACAAAAGTTATGTTTTACGTTGTTAATGCAAAATATTCCAAGGCCTTACATTTATCATTCATATTATACCACAGATGTATACTGCTGATTAGCAATGTAATGTGTAAAAGCTGAAGGAGAACTTGTTAGTAAACTGTCAAAAAAATTATTAACTTTTGCAGGGCAAATAAAATCTTAACTCTTGCAGTGGGGCTACCCCTGCAGTACAAGGGTTAAGTGCTCATTTTGCCTAGGGAGCTAAAATAGAGATACTCACCTGAGCCCCACTGAAGGGATTAAGGTTTTATTTGCCTGGAAATCTTTTTGAAGTTCCTCAGTTGAAGGTAACAGATCAGTGCCCTATCTGGTGAGTTGATGATCGTATGTAAATGCACAGTGGACTGTGATAAGCAAATTGGTTAGCCCAAACCTGGATTTGCAGCAAATTGGGCCAAACTTCCAGCAATTGTAGGTTTATTGCAAAATGCTGATTCACTCACTGGGTAAGCGGGAAAAGGTGTTTTCGATAGATCTTGGTTTGCCATGCTATTTTGTGTAGTTGTTACTGTTAAGAGTCAAATCCAAGGTGCACAGCATACTTGCACATTAGGGCACACTTCCCTTAAATTAATGTCCTTCTCCACTGCTGTTGGATTGGTTCTCAGTCCTCAGCACTGTCCCTCACCACCGCCATCTCTGCCGCTGACCCTTCCGGGTTCATAGAACTCCTCTCTGTTCATTGGCTGGCCACTGATAATGTAACTCCTGCACATGCACACAGAAGTTACATCCTCCACAGTATGTAGCCCATTCAGGGCATCTTAGAAATGGTGTGAATTGGCTCAGTGTGTACACTTTACGGCGCATGCACTGTATAGTGTACATAATAAATAAAATAATGCTGGGGGAGAGAGGAAGATTTTTTTTGGCAGAAGAGACTTTACATCTCTTCTGCCAAAAATCCCTACCCCCCAACATTTTTTTCCCCCTTACTTCCGCTTGAAGAGTAAAGCTTTTTTTCACTAAAGAAGGAAATAGCAAGACGATTCCTGCATCTGTTTGGAACCTGGTCACGAGTGCCTTAGCATTGGTCATGTGATCTCTGACAAATTATCTTGGGGACTGTAGTCACTGTAACTTTCCAAGCAACTGTATGTTCACTTTACTTTACTTTCGTTGCAGGGCTGATCAAACCATCAGCTTGAGCGGATATAGCAAGTGTTGCACTAACACTTACAGTATAATTTCCTCTCTTTTCCCCTTTTTTCACAGGTCCTAATAGCTATAAATATTGATAGTGTTCACAATGGGGAGCAGGACTGTTGACTTAGTAGCAGCAGTTCAATTTTGCCCTAGATAACTAAACAATCATGCTCAGAATACCTGATCCTTGACTAACTGATGGTAGATAATACAAGTTGTGTGATTAGTCTCGTGGCCAAAATATAAAAGAAAACAAAATATTATTTTAGTAGCATGGATGTTTTACACTTACCTCTTCATAGCCTGTATGCTTTTGTTTCAAACCTATTGGGTTAAAAACAAGTATTACATTAGAATAATAAAACTCCTTGTGCATTTACTAGTAAACATAACAGACCTGCAGCCTTAAGAGTTAACAGTGCCGGATTTAAAATTCCATGTTCTTTTCCATTTAATGGCATTTCTGTGGTCGTCATGGATATTATACTGAAAATAGCAAAGCCTGAAGCAGAGACACGTGGCTTATTTATCTTGTCATGAGTACTGCATTAACAAAGCATATTTAGTAATCATTCATTGTAATTTATACAGAGCATGTCTAACCACAAAGCGGATTTAGGCTGTAATCTGGCATGATTGGCCAAAAAAATGTGTAGAGTCCAAGTGTCTTAATGGATTTTGTAAACAATGGGACGGAAAAAAGCAATTTATTTAACTGTTTTCAATGTAGAAGTTTGTTCCAGACTGCTGAATATATGTTAGCCAATGTGGCTTTGCGTTTGTGCTCATCTGTCTTATTCAATAAGTAGTTTAAGATTTAAATGTAAGAATAGAAAAGGATACTAGCTGAATTAAAATCCAACATAATGAAATACAACAAATATAAAATAGATTCTAATTTCTTACCGCACTTTGCATTTATTTGCTCATTCCATTCTTTACTGAATATGCCCACAAATGGGATATTTCTTTCTAGGACTTTGGCTATTCATGGGTCCTTCACCTGACCACTTAGGCAGCCATGAATCTGACAACTGACCTCTCGGCCACATACAAGTGGATAACATACAATTAACGATAATCCATTGTGAATAGATGACATACTGGAACAGTCATCAACAGACATTCTGACTGTTTTGTAAGAAGTAAAGCTGCCTACAAACTTTAAACAGTGACTAGCTGCTCATGCACTACCCAAGCACCATATATTCCTTCTTATGAAAGATCATTCTACCTACATGCATGGGGAGTATCTGCAAGCGCCATTCGTCATATAAGAAAAAATAGTGATCAGCTTGGAAAATCCATTTAGAGAAATCAACTTTCTCCTCAATAGGCTTGGCTAAGGAATATCAACCAGGATCATGGCACATGACACAAACATATGACTCTTCCCAAAACCAACACTAAAAGGAATATTTAGGCAAATATAGTTATAATAGATCTAACTCATGTACCTTAAGTAAATAACATGTATGGTAATTAAATCTAAGCGATTGAGGGTTATGGTCCTTGGATAACATCTGGCTAGATCTTTTAGGGCAGCATTAAAGCAAGTCCATGGGATAACAGAGACCAGAAAGCCTCCAGTGAAGGTTTTCCAACTTTCTTTTTACCCAAAATAGTTGATTTTGATATTTTGATATTGTTTTTTGTAAAATAATTTTTTTATTGAAAAAAATAAGTTTTTTCACAAAAGAAAACAAACAACAATTGTGACAAAGAAAATATTATAGTGTGTGCATCAGCCCAAAAAGGACTAGATGGTTATGCATTTCACAATAGCATTAACATACGTATGAGAAGGAAAGACAAAGTCAGAATACGAGAAAGGGGGGGGGGGGGGGGGGGAGAGCGAAAGGGGAAGGG